TTTAACTCTGTAATTAATGTCGCCCAACAGAAAAAATCCGAAATATTATTCAACGAATCGCCAAACGATATAACACACCTTGTCACTCTCCTTTCTGTACTGTAAGCAGACACAGATAATGACATTAATAGTACAGCTGGCATCTTCTATGTCAACAGAAATAAATAAATTATTCCGCTTGTAGTTCGATCTGCGTGATTTAGAAAGAATAAGGTTTTTAGTGAAATATGTCAAGATCTTGCCCATATCAACAATCATGAACATTTCATTTGGTTAAATGTATGAAATCAAATGTATAACCCGTTTTACTTACAAACTCACAAGTATAAGAACGTCATGAAAAGGCGTTAGTGCCCAATATGTTCTAAAGAAACCTTTTCGGGCCTTTCAATATATTCACAAGATCCAACTGAATGTTTGTACACTTACTTTTCCACGTGTATTGTAAAATGCAGGAAATTTGAAAAGATGAGGACGGTAAAGGCTGAAGCCATAGATATTTATATTGTCAGTAACATTTCCCATCGATGTTACACATTATTATTTATGCACGACTCGTTCCCTTTTCCACGGGACGGAGAATAAGCTCTTTCAATTTTTAAACATGTGTTTATCACACGGGAACTTGCAATCTCTATTTTCTATGTATTTTTAAAGCTTCCTTCGCGTTTTGAATAAGTTTATTGAGTTTAATAATAGCAGAGTATGGGAAATGTACAAGAAATCTTTTAAAATAAGTATTATAAATAAAATGATTGCCGTCTTGTGATGATGTTCCGCATTTTATTAGAGATCGTCTTCTAATTACTTACAATATTATAAGGCAACTCCTTCAAACCATTATTTATCATAAACTTCTTATTTATTAGTCTGGTCGTTTCATTAATGCGGCTATTCCATAAAACACTCAGCACGCTTATTATCAGGCTGTTAGTAAACATCATCACATCGTAATTCTGAAGACACTGCGTCCCCCGGAAAGAAAACCTATCACTAAACATTAATTTGACTTACCATGATAATTTTCTTTTAGAACATTGTTAATTCGGTTAAAGTTACAGCAGTTACACACAAAACGTTGTAATCAACTGTAACTATACGGAATCACAATACATTTTATCAAAAAGAACCTGACATACTCAAAAAAGGGCTTGGGGATTAGAAACGACAACACCAATACCAATCATACACAGAGCTTAGAGCTATAATATAATTTACCATAATTCAGAGTAAATAGACAATTTAAATTTTATTCACTTGCGCTCAGAAAAGCAATCAAAACCAAAGCTGCGAGGAAACCCATTTAGTACCTGCGTCCAGCCACAATTACACAATGGCTGGGCGGCGTTGAAATATTCCGATAACGAGAAAATCGAAAGTTGTTGTTTTTTTTTTGATAAATTGCACCAGTTCTTCCAATTATATATTTAATAAAATTACGAATCTTTGTATGAATAAACATTCGTATATCGTAAAAGGGTGCGTTTATGTAAGGGTTTAACTTTGTTTGATAGGGTACGTAGTGCTTATTTGCTTGTATAGTGTATGTGCACGCCACTGGTATGAACAAGATGCGATGCCGACTAAACTAACATTAACTGCACGCTAAAATTAAGGTAAACTAAACTTTCAGAATATGTATTATAACTGAATTAAACTTGTAACCTGCCAGGCCAAATTTTAGTTCGAAGTTTAATACGCGGAACGGTTTATTTTCTCTTGTGCCGTATTAACTCATGTACAAACACTAACTCCATTTCCTCACCAGGACGCAGTGCACCTTATATTTTCTAAGTTATCAGATTCTGCAAATAATCTGTTCATCATACAAACATAGTTATGTCCAGATAAATGTTAATTTACCAACGCACTGCCCGCGCTAGCCAAGCACGACATATAAATATGTACGTAGTCAACGCATTCATTTGCTATTCGAAACAAATTAAACAATTTAATTACCTGCCACTGCACCGAGACGGTATACCTATGCGTTTCAATTGCTTTTTGTGGTTTCATTGAGTTCCTTTACAAACAACCATTACATAACTTGTCAATGGTCTTTTTATTTAAACTCTCATCAATGCAATGTGGCGTATCTTTTGTCCTATACTTACCAAACATATACTTTTCTCAATAGATCATATTATTAATGTGCGCAAAATGTCAGATAGTAAACGTAATACCCAATGAAATCAATCCTGCACGTTACGTTGTAATGGTATGTTATTCTTGTTTTATTAAAAATAACATAGTTTTTTTACAAGCTGCACTCATGCGAGAGGTTCTCAGACATCTTAAAAGAATAGCGTCTAAGCCCTCTCGGGAGTGTCCCGGCAGAGAGTAAGCGCCTACATTGTGTTACGTGAGAATCCTTTAGATAAATGCTCAGTGCGTCTCTCCGGTTCCCGGATAATCTGTGTTCGATATCTGGTGGCGCGTGTTTGTGGGTATAAATTGTGTTGATACCTGTAAAAGCTTTCGTCCTAACCCATTGGCTGGCCACCCTCCCACGTCAGTCTAGTAAAAGGGTTTTAAATTCTCTTCGAAAAATTCGATTTATCTCTTATAGTTAGGTAACAAAATTCTAAAAGAAAGGAATTCCTTGTAATTATTAAGTAAATATTACCTAAATACCGTTCCTAAAGTATTAAAGGTATTATAATAAACTTCGAGAAAGATTACCTCGGAAAAATAGCTCAAGAAATATTTTTTGTAAATTATTATACCTTTTAGTTACTTTGTCCGTCATCAACGTACTTTAAATTTCATAGCAACGAATTCTTTTCCATTGCTTGGCCGCCTGGAAACTTATTTTTTCTTTTGGCATACCGACACTGCCAAAGGCTCGTTTGCCAGTAGGTCTCATTATCTATGAGAGGTCTCAAGATAATTATTTTCGAAGGTATGTAAAAATATTTCCAAATAAAGATAAAACACAACATAAGATCCCGGGAAATAAAGTATCCAGTTTAATAAATAGTCATTATCATGGGCAAGCCATGTAACAAGTTTAGCAAAGAATAATGCAATTTTCGTTTCGTTCAACTGAAAGATACTGTAAGACGATTCTCTGCGTAACCCCATCATCCTTCTTCGTGTGATTGAAATTATTTTGTCTCTTTCTTATGGTAGATTACCAATAAAAGTGTTCCTTAAGTAAACGACGTAAACTCATTTTACTTACGTAAATAACTATCAATTACTCAACTCGAAGTGGTTTTTTATTAAAATATTAATGTTTGTAAAGTGAAACAAACTTGAATAATTTATCCATATCGAAAAACACTCAAGTGGATTAGGTAGGTACACTCTTTAGGATTGTTCGTTTCCATATACATAAGTTATTTGTTCACTTACCGTAATCTACTAATGGACATAATACACCTTTCTGACACGTGTAGTAAATCCTATTTGACAGTTTTCAAAAACTTAGGGATGGGAACACAATTTTCCATTTATATTTTTCATGTAAGTGCAAATACCTGAATCAAATAATATCATTTTTCCGTGCCACGCAATATGTGAGTAATCCTGTGAAAGGTTAAAGGTCGAAAACTATTTATAAAGCGAACTAAAGCCATGGAACTTGACTGTCCAAATAATTATCATAAAATGTTCATCGAAATTGGATAAAGGCAAAAGATAGCATGACGTGATCGTAGGTAAATGGTAATGTAGGGCGGGCCTCCACCTATCGATCAAATTTTATGAAAATGTTTCCATACAGCAAGCATCTCATAGATATATCACATTTGGTACTGAGGTTCTCGTTCAAATAAATTATGTGTTGCTTAAAACGCTTGTTTTTATCACTTTCAAAATAAAATATATCACTGGTGTCGTCTCCGCAGGTGAAAACATTTTACTCAACGCTCTGAGAAAAAACAATTAGCTGCTGTCGCGTATCAAATTTGTAGCGCGGCGGTTAATCAAGGCCGGGTTACCTAACGTGCTGAGTGTTCTTGTCTTTGTAAGGGCAAGGCTAAGGTCTTTATTAAAGCTAGATATATTGAAAGCAATTTGATTATAAAGTGCACATTTAGCCGACCTTCAGCTCATCCATCTGGTAAGCGAGCTACGGCCGCGGAAGCGACAACAATATCTATGTCTATCCAACGGACGCTTTCGTAATACCTTTTGGAATGTATGACTCATGGCAATGGACTGACGCTCTCAAAATTCTGTTCACTTTTTCATATCAATCTCAGAATAATTTGGTTTTGTTGTGTTTTATAATACGATTGACCACCAACGTAACAGTTGGACATTGTATAGAATTGTTGATGAAAACCACTACAAGCGTTATCTTAACATATTGCCTTATCAGTGCCCGTATTGTTGTTGGCAGTGAACGTTATCTGGCGAATTCTGCTATCTGTAACTCGTATCGAGCCGCAATCGATCCCGTACTAGCACTAGCTTCACTCAAGGAACTCTACACTTTAAGTTTGGCCGACTCGCTGTGTCACTACACTACATCTTTAAAATTGCTTCAATGTTTTTGAATGCATTCCTGTGACTGTGATTAAATTTCAGAGAAAATCCCATTGCATTTTGCAGTTGTACTCTGTAAACAGCATTCATTTTAATAACGAAGGACTTACAAAATGTGTATTTCTCCACATGTTTGCAATGGAAATAAACGATATGAGTTATATTGAAACGTTGGGAATATAAAGCTTCAGAACATGATGCTATTCATTGCTTTTATTGTGATATAATAATCTTTCATATAACTATTTTAGGGTTTCATTAAATGCTCTATTTTGGCTTGATAATCTCAATAATATCCTTGTAAACGCCATATAATTCTAATAAGTAGTATCAAAGGAAATTCGTAACCGAAGTATGCCATAGTTAATAGCGAAATGCGAACCATGCGCGCTTAAAGTACTTATATTTAATTTTGGCCGGAATTGTTTTACATGCGAGGCATTATAACAACGTTTGGTACAATAATGTAATTACACGTAGCGTAATGGTGTGTTCTTCTTCCGTAGGCCGGTCCAGAAATGACGTGGGTGCTAGCGGAGCACAATGCGTCTGGCGCAGGAGAGCTGTCCGTGTCCAAGGGGCAGCAGGTGGAAGTTGTGGAGCCGTGGCAGGCGCGCGCTGACTGGTGGGTGGTTCGCGTGCCGGGCGAGCCACCGCTCGAGGGCGCCGTGCCATCGCACGTGCTAAAGCTGCAGCCCCACCACCACCCGCAGCAGAAGACATCACCTTCCAGACGACCACTAAGCCAACCCTGCGATGAAAATATAGGTAAGTTCCCCAACAAGCTAAACTGTAATTACCATTATCATATCTTAGGAACTTCTGAAACTAAATATTTTTCCAATATAATAGGAACTGTAACACTGTTAGTACCTAGTTATCTTCGAGTAAAAAGTATCTGATCTCGTTCAAAGTTACCTGTCATCTATAAGAAAACGGAGAACAACTTACAACTAACTTTTAATTGGATGAAAAAGCTCAGATACAGAATCTTATAAGCAGTATTTTGCTAAAACGAGACTTGTGCATTTCAATTTTTTATTACTCATGATTATTAAAACTCGAAAGAACGAATAATAAAAACTTAAGGTTTGATTTGCACGCGAATTTCAACAAGAACTAGAAGTAAAAAATTTGGAAACGCTTGTTCTAATAAATAGATATATCAAAATGCTATAAATTTTTGGTGTAGTTTCCAAATACATTAATCCTGCACATTAGTTAAATAGCTACGAGGGGCGTTCAATGTATTCTCGGTATAGGCAGGAAAGAAAACTCGGAAAATTTTGGAAAAATTCTATTTTTCAATGTAGTTCCCTAGACCCTCAATACATTTGTTAGATTGAGGAATTAGCTTCTTAAAGCCTCGTAAAAAATATTCTTCTGGCTTCTCCTCAAAATGGGTATTAATTGCTACCTTCAGTTCATCATCGTCGAAAAATCACTTTCCACGAAGATCTTTCTTCAAATTCGGGAATAGGTAGTAATCACTGGGGGCCAAGTCTGGACTGTACGGAGGATGATTAATTTCTTCGAAGCCACAGTCTCGTACAGCAGCCTTCGCCACGCGGGCCGTGTGAACAGGCGCGTTGTCATGAAGCAGCAACACCCCCGCTGTGAGTTTTCCTCGTCTCTTTTCTTTAATTGCTTCCCTTAAATTACGCGAAGTGGTTGCGTATGATGCTGCTGTGATGCTTTCACCTTTTTTAGTGTATTCTATTAATAAAATACCTTTAGAATCCCAAAAGACCGTGGCCATTATTTTTCCGGCGAAAGGGGTGACTTTGAACTTCTTGGGAGGCTGTGCACCCTTTTTAACCCACTGCATGGACTACTGTTTACTCTCAGGGTCATAGTGATGAACCCACGTCTCATCTCTAGTAACCAGCCGGTCGAAAATACTCGATGGATCTTCTCCACAGAGCTCTAAAAACTCCTTACAGCACTCGACTCTCACTTGTTTCTGAGGCGCGGTGAGCATTCTCGGCACCCATCTTGCACTGACCTTTGAGAGATTAAGATGGTCATGAAGGATTGCATGTATGGTACCCACAGATAGGTTAATCATCTCTGCTAACATCCCGATTTTTATTCTGGTATCTTCAAGTACCAATTTCTCCACTTTTTTAACATTTTCTTCAGTGATGGCGCTTACGGGCCCACCCGAGCGAGGGTCGTCTTCAATGCTTTCTCTACCTCTTTTAAATTCACTTGACCAGTTTTGAACGGTGGATAACGACGGAGCAGAGTCTTGGTAAACAGCAACCATCTCTTCGTGAATGGTTTTATGACTTTTTCCCTGCTTAGTAAGGAACTTTATAACAGCGCGATGCTCGATTTTCTTAATCATTGTAGCGTCAGTCATTCTGATCGTCTTTAACTGCAGATAATTAGAAAACTAATGAACGTAAATAAGTGAAATTTAATATTTATACCCTCAGATAGTGTCATTAGTAAATGAGATAATTAGATTACCCACATTATTAGCAAATCACCCCGATACCGAGAATACATTGAACGCCCCTCGTATCAATGCTTAATTACAGCCACACTAGTCCCTTAAAGTTCAGGATCATCGATCAGAACGTCTTTTGGTTGTTGGTATTTACCACCTCTCTGTGACTGCCTCATTGGTTTAGCGATTGTAAGTACGACATACCTGCGGGCCCCTTGCATTTTGAAAAGAAATCCAGTACTATGGAGTCTGGTACTATACCCAGTATATGGGATGGGACTTGTATTTATATGGGATATCATTATGCAATGATGTGCATCTCTGCCCATCACTTGAGGGACAAAAGGCGTGATGATAGAATAATGTACATGCTTATGCTTACACGCTGACTGAACCTAAACTTATCATGAATCGGATTACAAACATAAGTGATCGTTTTGACGCTTTATAACGATGTCGTCGGAACAGGACCCTATGACGATACTAATGGAAACTAAACTGAATAAAAACTAAAGTAATCGACAGTTTCAGCCCTCAAAACATATTAATATTCACTTTGTGTAAAGTTACCCTTTATCATACAAATGTAGACCCTATCGCAATGAAATTCCATGATAGTCAATGGAAGTCCCGTTCTCCGTGTTATTGATTTATGAGATTATCAGCTAGTTGCCTACCTACAGGGGCGGTATCAATTAAATCACTCAACATACACATAAAAACAATCTGATTCAAAGGGGAACGTGTTAAAAGCGTTAGGATCCTATGTATGACCAGTCTGTATAGGCCTCGGCTATTTCGTAATTGGTGTCAATAAGCATTCCTGTATCAATTACGTATGGAAAATTTATTAAAGGGGAAACAGAACACTGACGTCGTGATCGACACAATCGTTCCCCGTCGGCGTATTCAGCGTCACAAATACATATTTAGCAATATTCAGCATATTCAAACACGTAAAACATATCGATTAGTTTCTACATATTATATCGATTAGTACAATTATTGAAAAAAATTAAAACATAATGTCATGTTGTCAGTGAAATGTAGTCAATCCGCTTTATTTTTTTTAAATTTTATTGATTTCGTATTGATTTCGCGTGCCTCAAAGGGCCAATAGACCACCAAGGGCCTTGTAGGCCTGATGCTTAGCCAGGCAACCAGGCACCGCGGCCTCGGCCTATAGTAGGATAAGGAACGGTGGGAGGGGTTTTTAGTCAGTAAGAGTCTGACATTTCCTCTCGCCTCACCCTGGGTGGGTTAAGTCATTTAATGATTTTGCCCTGAAAATAAAACCATGTATTCCACTATTTAATGTTTTTATTTTCGTTTGAGTGAAGGTACAGCACGGTATTTAGTTTTTTATACCATCGGCTGATAGTCACAATACTCGGTTTTTTTCAATAGTAGCGCTAACTGAAAAAAAGATTACAAATATACATACATTCGAAAACGCGGATCGCCATACAAAACAAATACGGTAACAAAAAAAAATGAATTCAAACCATGATAAAATCCCATTGAAAAGCAACTGTTGAATTTGTTGCATAAAAAAACTGTTTTCATTCTGGATTCCATAAAAATAGAATAAAATAAACTTAAAAGGGCTTTGTTTCCACGTTCAATTATGTGTTTATTTCAATAAGTTATTTTATTATGATTGTTTTTAATAAGCTTGCAGCTTGTCGAAAGTACTATTTTAGAAAAAATCGTAATTCCTTTTTTGATAAATTAGTGTAAGATCAGGAAGATATCCCCGATTATACGTCCTCGTGGTTTTTGTAATTCACTTCAGTGTCTTAAGCTCATTCGGACAATCGGCCAGTTTAGAAACTGACCCACCACGTATACCTGTCGCAATTTAACAAACCGTAGTATAGTTTAGTCTTGTTTGTACATACCCAGTGCAGTCAAGTCTTTATTCGCGTAGGCATGCTTTGCAAAGGCAGTGTGCCTGTGATCTGTAATTTTACAATAATAATACTTTTAAACCCTGCTTAAGTTTATTTAATATTGAAATGTCTTTATAATACCATGCGCTGTAAAAGATCGAATGTGTGTCATGAAACATCTTTGTCGAATGCTCTTTTATAGAGGTGTTACGAAGATCCATTTTATTGGTCTGCCGTGTTAAATTACAATTCAACTGCCTGTATTATTAATGTATTTCTATTAAAACTAAAGCATAAAATCACATGTCATATCTGCCTTACAAAACGAAAGTTGTCATTTTTTCTATAACATTATTGCACAGGAAAAGTAATTTCATTTTCTTATAATAATGTGTATTGTATCATATTTACGGTATAGAAATGTAAACACAGCAAATAACGTTGGTAATAAACTATCATTTCCAAATATAAACAGACAATATATTTCCACTTTGCTTCCAATAGTTGTGATCCAATAAAGTTCTCTCAATCGATCCTGATGCAAATCTTGAATCCGTTTCAATGGGCAATTTTTTGTTGTCTGACGTCTGATTGTGTTGCTAGGCAACTATCGTATGTCAGTATGATCCCAGAGTGTGAACTGCGAGATTTAAAGAGTATTCAAGTATTTTATAATTCGCTGATCACGATATAATACACTGCTTTTAAGTGTGAAGTAGATTAATATGTTAACAAAAGTAGATGATAAAATATGTAAAACACTTTAATGTGAAGAGTTTTGTGCTCATATAAAGTACGTAAGGTTAAAGTTGTCGACTTGTTAATTAGCTATACAATGTTCTTCGCTTGACAGTGGCATCCTGATCGGGATTCCTGTAAAGAGACGCCTTCCGAAAGTTTTAATAACTTATACGGAGTTTATAATTAATCGAGTCGCAAAGACTGGCTCTGTGCATCGGAAATAATGTTAGCTTATACTCGATGGTTGGTTGGAGACAGGAAATTCGTTATATTGCGCTTCAAACGTTTCCATCGTCAACAGCACCGTACGTGGCTACGTGGTACCTGTATGTTGTAATGCACTTAATTAATTCGTTCGCCGGTAAAACAACCGAGGCTTCCTGTGTCGTATACGCCTACCCCATTACTGATACACACCTCTATGTAGGTATAAGTATGTTTTTTATTGATAAACTTTTACCCCTGTATTATTTAACTACATTTCAATGTTTTCAAGATCTCTCACAAATCATAGTTTACACTTTTTTATGCGGGGAAAATCATCAAATGACTTCTCCCGCCTAGGGCCGGGCGCGAGGGAGTGTCAGACTCTTACTGACTAAAACCCGAGCCGAGGTCGCGATGCCTCATTGCGCTTACCCCGCAACCCCGGCTTAACATCAGCTCTATAGGGCCCCGTC